CCTTTTCCACAACACTCTTGGGCTCTTCCATGGCCGGGTGATGCACCATGCAGGTGTAATTTCCGTCTCCTTGACTTTGCTCAACTTTCAGGATGCTGTAGGCAGAGAAAGTGCCACTTCCTGACACAGGGCCATTGTTGTAACTGGACTTGAGTTCTGGGGAATTGTTCTTCAACCATGAGATGCTGATCTCTTCAGGGTAAAAGCCACTAGCTTCGCAGATGAGAATCAAGGAGACTCTGTTCCTGGAGATGTCTTCGTGGTAGGCTCGGGAGACAGTGACTGAGGGCTCCTTCTTCCTGATGCCTAAATGAAAAGGAAGAGGGGGAGGAGAAGAACAAGACTTGGTTTGCACGGCTAAATAAAGGACTTGGATCCAGCAGATATCACTGTGTGAAGGGGCCAAGGAGGGCAGTTGCTCAGGGTATGTGTGTAGCTAGACCAGGCAAAATAAAAACCCAACCATTGAGCATCATCTCCCTTGAAACTCAGAGATCCTGGATCTTCACCCAAACACTCAACTGAACTCCCAAGCCTTCCCTGCAGAATGCACAGTGACCTTCCACATCCTCAACCTTAAACGGCAACAACTTAACATCATCATCTTCATTTTCGTCTTCATCACCATCATCATATTCATCTTCTTCACCTCCCTTGTCTTCATAATCACTTCCTTCCTCTTTATCTTCATCTTCCTCAGATCAAACTCTTCATTATCATCCTCTTCCTCTTTATCTTCATCATCTCCTTCAGCCTTCTAACGTTCTTTCTCTTTTTCTCCTTCAGCATCTTCATTTCCTTCTTCATTGTCATCGACATCGTCTCCTTTGAGGTCATCATCATGATTATTATCCTCAGCTTGGTTTGACAGTAACGAAGATGGCTATGCTGCTTTGAGCTAGTCCTGTGTCCTAAACCTGAATCCTCACCCCAAACCTTGAACCACACTATCTCCTCTTCAAGTCTCCACCATGCATCATCATGACATTGGGTCACCAACACTTTTTCTCACTCAGATGGAGCCTCTTCCTTCCTTCAAATGCTCACAGCAAAATACAACACAATTGAAGTTTTCAAAGGCTGCCTTAAGGACTTGGACACCTTGGGTATTTCAATGGGATTTGGGCACCTAACTCCACTGGACACTCTTAGAGAGTCTCACCAGAAATAGCGCTGAAAGGCCAGATGGCAGGTGACAAGCGCCCGCCTGATTTCCGGAGGTAAGAAGTACATACACACATCAGATCAGGTCACAAATAGGACACTAAATCCCTAACAGGCCTCATCCCCGTTTCCCAGGGAGCCGAGGGAGTGAAATTCTTGGAGGAGCTGGAATTTAATGGTAAGGCAGGGAATACTGGGGAAACTGTGCACGTGGAAATTAATGAGAGATTGAGAATGAGAGATTCATAGGGGAAATACTAATTACACCTGCAATACACCCTTGTGCTGAGGGCCTAGGCCCTGCTAAAGTCCTACTTGGGGGGTTTCACTGGGACTTAAAGGCTGCCTAGGACTTGTGCGGGGTGATTTCACCCTCTAATCCCAATTAACAGTGACTGGAGTTTGCCTTTCCCTTTGAGATGCTAGGGCTACTCACCTGTGTTGCTCATGGTTATGTCCTGGGTTAGTTCTCCAGAACAGGGTGTGGTCACTTTACAGGTAAATTTGGTGCCTTGTCCCCATTGTGCCAGCGACACAGGGTGAGAACTGACCAGGCTGGTGGTCCCGTTGCTGTTCATCTTGAGGGGTTCTGTCTTCGCCGCAGAGCTGACTTTTCCATCCACTTTCCATGCGATTCTGCTGGCCGCTAAGTCATAGCCCAGAACTAGACAGGTAACGTGTCCAGAATTTTTGATGACGTCTTCATAGGAGGGTTTGGTTAAGTAGATGGTTGGGTCAAGTGAGCTTCTGAGGCAGGCTGGGGAAT